ACAATACTAATTTTCCACGAGTTTTTGCAAATTTCGGGTACAGCAAAGTCATTGATCAGTTGAAATTGAGCTGCAGCAGATTCCTCATCATGTTTAAAATGCAAATATTGCAAAAAAATTCTTCTGGCATTTCTTATTTCATTACAAACCTAGTTTTCCATGAGTTTTAGCAAATTTTGGGTTGAGCAAAATCTTTAATCAACTTAATTTGAACTGCAGCAAATTTCTCGCAATGTCTAGAGTAGTAAATGTTGCAAAAAATCCTTCTGCCATTTCTTATTTCATTGCAAACCTAGTTTTCCATGAGTTTTAGCAAATTTTGGGTTGTGCAAAATCTTTAATCAATTTAATTTGAACTGCAGCAAATTTCACGCCATGTCTAGAGTAGTAAATGTTGCAAAAAATACTTCTGCCATTTCTTATTTCATTAGAATACTAACGTTCTACGAGTTTTTACAAATTTCGAGTTCAGCAAAGTCATTGATCAGTTTAAATTGAGCTGCAGCAGATTCCTCATCATGTTTAAAATGCAAATATTGCAAAAAATACTTTTGCCATTTCTTATTTCATTGCAAACCTAGTTTTCCATGAGTTTTAGCAAATTTTGGGTTGTGCAAAATCTTTAATCAATTTAATTTGAACTGCAGCAAATTTCTCGCCATGTCTAAAACAGCAAATGTTGCAAAAAATACTTCTATCGTTTTTTATTTCATTACAATACTAATTTTTCACGAGTTTTTGCAAATTTCGGGTTCAGCAAAGTCATTGATCAGTTTAAATTGAGCTGCAGCAGATTCCTCATCATGTTTAAAATGAAAATAATGCAAAAAAAATCCTTTTGGCAGTTCCTATTTCATTACAAACCTAGTTTTCCATGATTTTTAGCAAATTTTGGGTTGAGCAAAATCTTTAATTAACTTAATTTGAACTGCAGCAAATTTCTCGCCATGTCTAAAACAGCAAATGTTGCAAAAAATACTTCTATCGTTTGTTATTTCATTGCAATACTAAGTGTCCACGAGTTTTTGCAAATTTCGAGTTCAGCAAAGTCATTGATCAGTTTAAATTGAGCTGCAGCAGATTCCTCATCATGTTTAAAATGCAAATATTGCAAAAAAAATCCTTTTGGCATTTCCTATTTCATTGCAAACCTAGTTTTCCATGATTTTTAGCAAATTTTGGGTTGAGCAAAATCTTTAATCGTTTTAATTTGAACTGCAGCATATTTCTCGCCATGTCTAGAGTAGTAAATGTTGCAAAAAATACTTCTGCCATTTCTTATTTCATTACAAACCTAGTTTTCCATGATTTTTAGCAAATTTTGGGTTTAGCAAAATCTTTAATTAACTTAATTTGAACTGCAGCAAATTTCTCGCCATGTCTAAAACAGCAAATGTTGCAAAAAATACTTCTGCCATTTCTTATTTCATTAGAATACTAACTTTCTACGAGTTTTAACAAATTTCGGGTTCAGCTAAGTTATTGATCAGTTTAAATTGAGCTGCAGCAGATTCCTCATCATGTTTAAAATAGAAATATTACAAAAAAATCTCTCTGGCATTTCTTATTTCGCGAGAAAATCAGTTTTCCATATTTTTTTTGCAAATTTTGATTTGAGTAGAACTTCCGAGTCTGCTAATTTGAGCTGTATTGCATTCCTCTTTGCTTATAGCAGCAAATATCCAAAGAAAATTATGTTTGTCATTTCCTAATGCTTTGGAAACCTAGGTTTTCTTTAATTTTTGTAACTAATGTATTGAATTTCTGATCAATTTTATTTAACCTTCATCATATACCTCGTTGTCTATTGCAACAAATATACAGGGTAATTCAAATTCAACCTCCACCATTGGGATCTCAGAAACCATAAGAGATACAGAAAGGGTTAAATGGGGGTAAAGTTGCGTATCTTAGAGCTAATCATTTTTCAACGAAGTTTTTGGATAAAATAAAAAAATTACTTTTTCGTTTTTTGCCTATAACTAATTTTTTGTTGTAAAAATCAAATATGGCGCTCATAAGAAAAGATACACCTGATGATAGCTTCACGAAAATGAAACGTGGGAGAAAATTTCTAGTTGTGTCATAAAATTTTTCATAAAAAGTTGCCTTATGAATGTTTTTTCCTTCACTTTCCTTCAATTTTTGCAAGTTCCAATATGAGCAGAATTTTTTAGGAACTCTACTTTCAATAGTAATTTAGCGTTACATTGTTGTATATTTTTATTAAGCTAAAAGTTGGTCAGTAGTGTTAGTTCTAATTTTACTTCAATAAGAATATATAGAATAACTTAGCGTTATCTAGTGCTACTTAGTGTTATCTAGCACTGTCACGAGAACTAACTCCACCAGGGCCGTACGTCTCTTAAGGCGACTTATTGGATTACACCTGTGCTAGTTCTGATGGTTTGCAAATTCTAGTACAATCCTCCAGGGTTAATTTATCTTCTCTTAAAAGTCTACCTCTAACTTTATTATCCCTGAGTCTACATACTATTCTATGTCTAATTAATCCATCTTTCAAGTTTTCGAAATTACAGTCTTTGCTTCATTTCTTAAAATTTGTGATGAAACTTACCAAGCTTACACATTCTTTTTAAACTCTAGAATTGAACCGTTTCGTTAGTCTTTGGTGTTAAGTATTTCTGCAACTTCACCAATACTTTTTTGCAATCTTTGCTCTTTTTTTCATTGATTTCTAATGTATCATAAATTTCTTGAACTTCTTAACAATAGAGTTTAGACGTAGTTCTAAGAAGTTTTTTAAGTTGCTTTTTAATAAACGATATATCTATAAACTTATAACGGTCAAACGAGCTAGTGCTAAATTAGGCGCGTTTCTAACAATACAATTTTAAGGCATGTTCATCATACCGATGTTGAAGAACATCCAGAACCACAAGAAGTACCTACAACAACCACTGAAAGTGTTGATGATAGAAACGTTCGAAGACTTCTTTTCAAAAAGAAAAGTACATCATCAACTTGTGCAGTAAGCAATAAAATAAAATTATAAAATTAAAAATTAACAAAAAATCGTTTTAGAGTTTATTAGAAACTGAAGGTGATGAAGTATCAAAAGCAAGTCAAAGTCCTTTATCAAATATCAGAAAAAAACATCACACTTTAACACCGAGGCAAAGTGAAAAAGCTTTAATGTCTGAAGCTTCGACTTCAAAAGCTAAACCAAAATCGAAATTAGGAGGATTCGGTGATTATTTTAAATTTATTGTTTATTTTATATAACGTATTATTTTTTTAAATAGTAAGTTGGTTTAAACGTGGTGATGGAACAGATTCTTCTGATAACCATGACAGTACAGAAACAGTGACGGATACTCAAAGTTTTGTGAGACAACCGGCGAAAATGTACCATCAAAAAGACTCTGTCAAAAGTACTAGTTCGGGAAATGTCGGTCATACTTTGCAAAAGGCTAAGAAACGGGTTGAAGATCGTTTCAATAAGTTCGTTTTGAAGAAAGGAAAAAAGAAAGATGGGAGTACTGATGAATCACCAGGAGGTTGTAAGTTTTAATCCAAATAATTATCAAATATATGTTTAATTTAATTAATTTGTTTTCTCCATTTAGATTTAAGTCGAAAAAATTCAATGGATATGGGTGAATCTTCGAGAGAATCAGAATTCGTCATTTTAAAAGAAAGAAAATTGGTTTCAATACCACCCGTTTATAACGGGATGCAAAGATTATCGTTTTTATTGGAAACATGTGCACCTGGATCAGTTCCTGATGCTCATTTATTAGCTTCCGTTTTAGATTTGGTAACTAATTAAAACAAATTAAAAAAAAATTTAATTAAAACATTTTTAGCCCCATTCCGCTGTTGTTGCAAGAGCAGCTGTACTCTTAGAATGTTCATACTTCGTTCATTGTTGCAATAAAGGCCAATGGCCATCATGGATGAAACTTTCATTCCCAATTTTTCGACCATCCGGTCCACTTCCGGCAAGAAGCGCAAGCGCCGGGTTAAGGCGTATCCACATCATGCAGCGGGCCGCTGGAAAAATGTTTCATCAATGGGCCGAAGTTTTAGGCGCGCGATTAGAAGAAATGATCAACGAAGATAAACAACTAGACGTTTCAATAAATTCAATGGTTTTAGACGAAAACAAACAAAAGGAGTTACTAATTCAAGACGAAGAAGAAGACTTTTTAGACGAGGCGAGCATTTACACGTACGGCGCAACCAGCCCGGTCGCTTTAAGAATGTTAGCTTGTCACCTTTTATTTGAAATTACCGCATTTTTGAGGGAAACTTACCAAACGATCCCGAAATCGTCGAAATTAACGAGTAAAGATCGGCCACCACCTTGGGAGAAATTGTATAATCGAGATGCTAATCGACGTTGGTCCATGGCTTTATCATCGATGGGGCACTCTCAAGCTTCAGCGCAAAGCTTACAATCAATTGCTGGCGATCGAGAATCAAATCAAACGGAGAGAAAAATCAGTTTTGTTCTGCACGAACCAGCCGATAATGAAAGTGAAGGAAGTAGTAACACGACGGTAATAATATATAAAATAATAGTATATTAGTAATATACAGGTGTCTCCGAAATGCGTGTATAACGGAAGACCACAAATTCCTTGACTCAAAATAGGTCGATTTAAACTAAGTTATTTATATCCAAAGTTGCTTCGTTTCGCCGCTAGAGGACTTCAAAATTAGCAAAAAAAAAATTCTTTTATTTTTTATAACTCGAAAACGCGTAAATCAATTGAAACCATTTTTCAGAAGTGTATTCACGTTAAACAAAAATTGCAATTAGTTGAAATCATTGCCAACTACGATAAGGTAACTTTTGTAACTGCAATGACGTAAACAAGGCACATTATTATAATAATGTAATTGTCGCCTGGCCAGAAAAAAAAAATATGGAGTAATATCCGGTGAACACATGACATTTCCATCATTCCTGTGTTTCTAAAATTGTATCAAAAACCATTTAGCAATTTTTTTTGCTAACTTTGAAGTCCTCTAGCGGCGAAACGAAGCAACTTTGGATATAGATAACTTAACTTAAATCGACCTATTTTGAGCCAAGGAATCTGTGGTCTTCCGTTGTACACGCATTTCGGAGACAACTCTGTATATTATACAGTGTGCCCGTAAAGTAACGCATATAGGCGATAAAATCATAAACGGGTTATGGAAAAATCGCTTAAAGCGGGTCTAAAGAATTAAATTTGTTGCAATTTTTTGGAATGTATTTCAATTTTTTGTAGCCATTTTTAAATGAGTTGTGACTTCATCGCTATTTTTTTCAAATGGCAATCCTCCATTTTTATTACGGAATATGAAAGAATATCTTTTTCTGAATCTAGTACATAGTACATATTGGTTACATAAGAAAATGTTCGAGAAACATTACTTTAAAGATTAACTTCTTCAAATTTGCTTAACATGATAAAAATAGCAGTAGTCATGAGTAACTATGGTAACCAACCAACAATTTCCTAAGTGTCAAAAAGTGATTTAGTAAGTAGTTAACCTCTTTAATACATTATATCCTGATCGGCAACTCATTAGCCAATGAGTGTTAAAAACTGATTTAGTAAAGCTTCTTGAAATGTGGTGGCGCGCCATCTTGTTGGAATAACTGCCGTTGGAATTGAGTTGTGTCAACATTATCGGGATGGAATGAATGACATCGCTTTGAAAAAATTTAAACATCTCTTTCCACTTGAGGTTTCCTCAAATCTTTTGCGGATATTCGGTGTGCGACTTTCATGGCTAATTTTGGACTTGTTGGAATAACTACCATTGGAAATCAGGTGGGACAACATTATAGTATCGTTTTGATAAAACCTAAACATGGCCTCCAGCTAAGGTTTCCTCACAAGCTAAGAACTTAGGATAGTATCCCATACTATTTCGCTTCACACATTGATCTTCTGCGGATATTGCGTGTGCGACTTTCTTGCCCAATGGTGATTTTGAGTAGCCCAATACCGACAATTTTGTCTATTTACTTGGCCACTCAATGTGACTGTTTCCTCGTCGGAAAAAATATGTTTTTGACAAAGTCTTCGTCATCGTAGCAAAATTTTTTTTTTACTGTTTTGTTTACTTTATAGGAATAATATTTTGCAGTATTTAAAATTTTATGAACCGTCGATTTACTAATGTCCAAATTCGATTCAACACCCCTGACAGTAACATAAGGGATTCCTTGCCCAGTCAAAACCACCTTTTGTTGAACCTCCTGTGAAACATTTGGTTGGGCAGAGTTTGAGAAATATCGAAGATCTATGCTTTTTAAATTTAGTCACAGCTAGGCTTACCAACTACTTACTAAATAATTTTTTGACACTTAGAAAATTGTTTAAAATATTTGGTTACCATAGTTACTCATGGCTATTGCTATTTTTATCATGTCATTAAATTTGAAGTAGTTAAACTTTAAAGTAATTTTTCTCGAAAATTTTCTTAATTAACCAATATTAGTATTGACTGTACTAGATTAAAAAAAAAATCGTCTTTCATATGCCGTAATAAAAATGGGGGTTTGCCATTTGTAAAAAATGTCGATGACGTCATAACTCGTTTAAAAATGGCGGAAAAATTCTTTAGACCCGTTTCAAGGATTTTTCCACAAACCGTTTATAGTGATTTTATTGCCTATATTCGCTACTTTACGGACACACTGTATATATATAATAATAGTACAATAGTAGTCCACGACTACTATTGAAATTGATTCCATAAATTTATTTTTTTAAATAAATTTTTGAATAAAGTTTAAACGTCAATGTGACACAAATTCAATGTTACCAACTGTACTTCACGACAATTTGTCAAAATTAAATGTAAATTTCATGAAACGTCATGTTTTTTTTACGAAAATTAATTAATTTATGCTTAATTCATGCGAAAAAAGGAATTTGTTTATGTTTTTTTAATCTCAAACTTTTAGAAAGTTCTAAAAAAATTAAATTAAATTGACGGTTTTTTGAAATTTTGACATATCAAATAATAATTTGACCACGTACGTTATACATCACTTGGCTAAGTGACATTTTATCGTTTTTAGAGATTTTAATGCTGTCTGGTAGGTAAAGGTGTAACTTATCTTAGAAAAAATGCAGAATACCGCAAGACCTAAAATACTATTTGTTTTAAAGGATAAAGCTATCATATTATACGATTTCAAGTCCGATTTACATCATACGTGTAAGAACCGGCTTAGTAGATACGACACTTAGATACACCAAGAAATTCTACAATAAAAAAATAGATGAACCTGCAATTTCGGGCCAGTGTCGTTTTCTAGATGTTAGTATAAAATTAAAAGTTTGTCTTTTATTTTATATAGAATTAAAGTCTAATTAGTTTCGGCCCTTGGCCATCTTCAGAGACTCTACAAATAGATTAACATCTCTCATTTCATCTATTTTACAAACGACAGCGGTAGGTAGCGCTAGTTAGCATAAGATAGTACTATGTTGTATATTTTTATTGAATTAAAACTAGATCGAGAACTAGAAACATTCAATTTTATTTTTGAATGTTGTTTGAAAAATTTTAATTTTGACATATTTGTCATCTTCATTAAAAAACCTTTAAAATGAGTCCAAAGATGACGCACTTATCTCAAAAAACAAAAAAGTTGGAATAAAAAACATTAAACCCGAAGTTAACAACAATGAAGATAGCAATTTAGTTTTTAAATTTTAATACCAACCTTAATTTTTTATTCTTTTTTTATTATATTTTAGTTTTTGTGTTTATGTTTGGACTCAAACATAAACACAAAATTGACGTTGACATTCTTAACCGGAAGTTAACCATAACTTCACTAGTATTGAAGATAAATATGTCGTGTTTGTACTCATTTTAAAGGATTTTTAATGAAGATTGCAAATATGTCAACGATTGCAAATACATGAAAAAGTTCGCGAAATTTACTCTCGTTTAACGGTTAAACGAGTTTTAAACAACTCATTGACTTCGTTATCGTTCGGACTCTATATCCGAAACCAATCATCATAAGAATCTCGATTCCTTCAGTTTCAGTAAGCTTTATTATTACTTTCTTACTTTTCGAACAGTCAATAATTAAAAAATAACTAATAATAGATAAACAATAAGATCAAATAACAACGAATAACGATGAATAGCAACAAATAACAACAATTAACACAAACACTCCACAATACTACTGAAAATAATCTCATTAACGCACAATAAACTGTTTTAAATTGAATTTTGACACTTGGAAATTTTAAATCAAAACAATTGGTTGCCATGGTTACGCACGGCTACTACTATTTTTTGTATCAAATGAATGATAAATAATGAAATTTTCTTATGTAAGTGATATTAATATTTAAAAATTCTCTTCCGATATAAAAAATGGGGTGTTTAAAAAAAAAAATCGATGACGTCATAACTCGTTTAAAAATGGCGGAAAAAATTTAAAATATACACCAAAAAATTGCAAAAAATTTAAATCTTTAGACCCGTTTCGGCGATTTTCTTATAAATTGTTTATAATAATTTTATCGAATTTATCCGTTACTTTTGAAACGCACTGTATATTATAATTTAGTCGTGGACAAAAAAAATTTGAATTGATTTTTTTGCTTTGACAGAAAACATAACCTTAAATAAAGCTTTGAAGTGAAGTTG